TGTGGGGAAAGCCAGACGACTTGTTTTAGGGCCACTTCACACATACATTTTAACCAGGGCTTTTCTTATGTTCTTTTTGTTCTTATGTATAAACTTACATGTACCGTATTGACCCGAATATAAGCCACACTTTCCCCGCAAATTCCGACCGTGAAAAGTTAAAGTGCAGCTTATATTCACGACTTTACACTATGCAACCAAGAGTGTGGGGCAAACAGCGCAATGAGCGCAGCAAAGCGGTGCCCGTCCCACGAATAGTCCCCTGTCTTCTCCTCCAAGGTCAGGAAGGGAGAGAGAGAGAGGAAAGGGAAAGGCTGCCAGCATTGCAGTGTGGCTCCCCCCTGCCCACAATGGAGCCAGGAGCAGCGAGGAATGGAACGGCTTATATTCAGGGTTTTTAAAATTATTTTGTCTCCTTCCCTCTAATTTTAAAGGTGCGACTTATATTCGGGTGCGACTTATATTCAGGCCAATACTGTATATTAAGTCAAAGAACAAACACTAGATTTTCTTCAGTTCAGATGTTGATTCTTGTCCAAAATATTGCCCATAACCCTATTTTTAATGTTTCAAGTATTCCATCAATACTTCTTCTAAATAAGGGGTTAGCAATTGGCAACACCTGTGTTGGCCATTTGATGGCAGAGTCCGGCCTCCAGAATGCTATTACCAACAGCAAAACTTGTGCATTTTTACAACACTGACTGCTCAGTTGTTTATATATGATTTTATACTGGTGATTTATGATCCTTATTATATGCTGCCCTAGTAGGGAAGTCTAAAATGTATACAGTGGTACCTCAGGTTACAGACGCTTCAGGTTACAGACTCCGCTAACCCAGAAATAGTACCTCGGGTTAAGAACTTTGCTTCAGGTTGAGAACAGAAATCGTGCTCCGGCGGTGTGGCAGCAGCGAGAGGCCCCATTAGCTAAAGTGGTGCTTCAGGTTAAGAACAGTTTCAGGTTAAGAACAGACCTCCGAAACGAATTAAGTTCTTAACCCGAGGTACCACTGTATATCTAAAATCTTTTGAATAAATACATTCTCACATTTGCTTGCTTACTCAGTACTTGATGACTCTCAGATACATGCATGAACTGACTCCTTGGGAAAGTATAGTGTCTGAGGCGATGAGAGGTATTATGAAAGTTTGGTCTGTGGTAAATTTGTGGTGGCTTAGGAAGTGCACACGCTGCATTATTGTATGCCTTCAGTGCTGGATGCAGGCATCTTTTGAAATGTGCTGTTGAAGTGGCATTTGCCACCTTGGTGTATGCTCACCCACAACATCATTGGTCAGGTGTGGATTCACCCTCCATTGCTGGCACCACCTACATCTGTTTTCAAAGCATCAGACTGATGAAGAAGAAGAAGAGTTTGGATTTGATATCCCGCCTTTCACTCCCTTTAAGGAGTCTCAAAGCGGACTAACGTTCTCCTTTCCCTTCCTCCCCCACAACAAACACTCTGTGAGGTGAGTGGGGCTGAGAGACTTCAAAGAAGTGTGACTGGCCCAAGGTCACCCAGCAGCTGCATGTGGAGGAGCGGAGACGCGAACCCGGTTCCCCAGATTACGAGACTACCGTTCTTAACCACTACACCACACTGGCTCTGCAATCAACACTGAATCAACCTGCAATGAACTTTTATTTTCAGAATGTGCTTTTCAGGGGCAACAGAAATATGCAGTGGGTATAGATTGTGTGTGGACTACATAGAAATAACAAGTATTCTGACTCCATTGATTCTAGAATAAAATGCTCTGTGTGTGTGTGTACACACAGCCTTGTGTGTGCGTACGCAGCCTTTGCTGTTCTGAATGTTTTGTTCCTATCGAAGGACTTTATGCATCCACAGAAGGGGATTTTGTCTCCATTTCTTTTTAACTAAGTAATATTTTCCTGCATATCTGGGGAATCCCATGAGCGTACAGAAACCCTCACGTTGTCTGGAGGTGGCCCCATTTCATTGCTCTGCTGGTTGGCTATTAGATGGAACAAACAGACAAGGAAGCTAGAGCTCACATCTTCACAGGTCTGCACCCATGGGTCTTGTCTCTGCCACAGACATCCTGTGTGACTTTAGGAAAACCACTCAGCATTTCTCTACTTCATTTCTTCATTACTTCATTTCCCCTAATATGCAAAAAAAAAACCACCAGACCTTGTTTCACGGCTCCACTGTAATCACACTTCACTGGGGTATATATGGTCTGACAGGAGGCAATGGTGGTCTAGGCCTCAGGGAAAACCTCATGTATATTTTTTATTTGTTCTAAATTTACAGTTGCAGAAATATCAAATTAGATTGCACACATTCAGTAAAATGGATGGGATCAATATTATTATTATTATTATTATTATTATTATTATTATTATTATTATTACTATTTGTTGCATTTACATCCCACTTTTTTTCTCCAAAGAGCTCAAGGTGCCATGCATGGTTTTCCCCTCCTCAATTAATCCCCACAACAACCTTGTGAGGTAAGTTAGGCTGTGACTGGCACAAGCTTATATGCTACGAATGCTATGACAAAGCGCTTTATATGCATTATAACACTGTGAAACCAGATGGCACTGTGGAGTCCCGTCTTTTACCAACAGGATTTCCCTGTATGACTTTTACAACGCGTTGAACGGAATTGCTTTTTTGATGTGTTTAGATCCAGCCAAGGTCACCCAGTGAGCTTCATGGCAGTGTAGGGATTTGAACTCTGGCTTCCCAGGTCCTAACCCAACACCCTAACCACTACACCACACTGGCTTATCAATGAAGGCTCCTTGAGAATTATATAAAGAAGTTTCCAGACCTGTTATGGGAAAGCAAGTGGAAGAGGCCTAAGAAACATTGTCCATTTTGGGGTAGGGGCTAGTCTAGATGCCATCTGAACAGCCCTGAGATTTTAGGTTCTAATGCTGAGATTTGGTCAGAAGAGGGCTAATTGAGCAATCAGGATTGGTGCAGATTATCCTGATGGCCCTGGCAGAGCAGTAAATGACCATGGTTTGTTAAGGAGATGTCTGTCAATAGATGGGTGGTTCTGGAAGGAAAACCGTTGGAAATCAGGGCTGAGCTTCCCCACATCCCAAAGCTGGGGGTTAATGTGAGAGAAGAACAGCCATTCCCTTCTCACAGGTGGAGCTGGGAACACCCAGCGGCCTGTTTTGTTGTCTGTGGAAATCACAAAGACATCACAAGTCTCTGGCTACCTTTATTCCATGGAAACCATACCCAAAGTATGCACAGAGACCCCTGTTGCCATGTGCACAACAATGTTTCTCTCCCACAACGTGGCTGACCATGAGGTTGAAATTCCACCTAGTGACTCTTGACAAGGTAATATAAGGTCATTATGGATTACTTTTTTGTTGTTGCTGCTGCTTGAAGCTATATTCATATCAAGACCAAGGTACATTGCATCCTTGGGCAGCAATCAAGGCTGACTCCTAATGTCTGCCCTGGGCCTCTGTGCTGGAGGCTGTATCTAGTTATCCTTTAAATTTCCTATAATTCCCCCAAGCCTAGTGTTGCTCTGGGTGGCTAGACACAGTGTCCCAGTGCAACTTAGACCTGCTACCACAGCTGGATAAGCCTCCTAAGGCCCACTGACAGAGGAGGGGGTTCATCAGAGGACCCCCTCAAGTCTGAGCCCAGTCCTGATTCACATCCTTATTGCTCTAATTCAGTTGGGTTCCTTTTCCTTCTTTTGCTTACATTTGGATCCAGTTCTTACTTTAGAGCTCTCAGAGAATCAAGGAACATTGTTGCATGCTCAGCTGATGAGTCTAAACAGCAGGAAGCTGATCAATTCAATTGATAGTAGGTTATCAATGCCTGCTAATCATATTGGCTGTGTTATTATCTCCTGTGTTGGAGGGGACATTTTTTTCAATACCAGTTGCTAAAGGGAAAGCACTATTGCACTTGTGTCCTCCTTATAGGCTTCCTATAGAAATCTTTTTGGCTACTGTGAGAAACAGGATGCCATATAGATAGGCTTTTGCACAGGGCTCTTCTTCGGTTCCTATGCATAACCTCAGAAACCCCTTTCTGCTCTTGATCTGTGAAGAGCTATTTGTTCACTAATGGCAAAGTATAGACAACATACGGCCATTCACTTTTGAGAAGTTTCATAAGGCACTTTGTCACAAAGGGCTACAGGCACTTTTCTCTTCTAGAATCATAGAATTGTAGAGTTAGAAGGACCACAATGGTCATCCAACCCCTGCAATGCTGGAATCTTTCCCCCAGTGTGAGGCTCGAACCCAAATCCCCGAGATTAAGAGTCTGAGCTATCCCTAGTTCTATTACTATTAGTTATTATATTTTAATTCCACTCTTCCAAGGAGTTTGGGGCAACGTGCTCATTCACAACAATTCTATTTGGTAGGTTAGCTCGCTCTCGAAGTCTGACTCAGTTGACAACACCATACCTGCTCTCTCCCTATTAACCTCACCGACATATAGAACATAATCCAGAGAATTTTAGGAAGAAGCTGTCCTTCTGCAGGATGAGGTCTTCCAGGAGCATGTCTTACTTCCAGGTCTGTCAGTCAGAGAAAGATCAGTTATTTTCTTCCGTGGCACAGTTCCTTGGAATGCTGGTTATAAGGTCCTTAGAATCATAGAATTGTAGTCATCTAGTTCAACCCTCTGCATTGCAGGAATCTCCACACATGGTCCCCTTTTTAGAACAGTGCTCTTAAAAAGTAATTTGGCCCTGAGAGCCCTTACCAGTTCAACCTGTACTTGTTGTTGTTGTTTAGTCGTTTAGTCGTGTCCGAGTCTTCGTGACCCCATGGACCAGAGCACGCCAGGCACTCCTGTCTTCCACTGCCTCCCGCAGTTTAGTCAAACTCATGCTGGTAGCTTCGAGAACACTATCCAACCATCTCGTCCTCTGTCGTCCCCTTCTCCTTGTGCCCTCCATCTTTCCCAACATCAGGGTCTTTTCCAGGGAGTCTTCTCTTCTCATGAGGTGGCCAAAGTATTGGAGCCTCAGCTTCAGGATCTGTCCTTCCAGTGAGCACCCAGGGCTGATTTCCTTAAGAATGGATAGGTTTGATCTTTTTAACCTGTACTTAATGCCCCATATTAAAGTGATTGGTCTGCTTGGATTAGGCAGAAAGATGGTGACAATTAATTAGAATACCTCTTGTCATAGTTTTCGAAACAGCTTTCTGAATGCTTAGACTGGAAAAATACAGTCAATGTGAGAAAAAGAAGATTCGTTATGATGCAGAGCAGAATATTTAAGGCCAGCAGCGTTCTTGGAAGAATTCCACAGAGCCTGGAGAAAAGGTGCATAATTGCTCAGCCTCTTTTACATACAGATAATTGACTCTGGTTTTTTGACAAGTATGGGGCATTGGCAGAGAGAGACAACAGGCTGTTGGGTTTGTGGGAAGGATACAGAAAGCCAAAATGTACCCATGTCCATAGGAGGGTCACTGTAAGGTGTTAATGACCCCCCCAATGTATTTTTCTCTTACACAGTTCAAGTCAGACACCGTTTCATGTTGAAGAAAAGAGCTCTGGTGGGAAGTGTCATTCACTCTGTGGGAAGTCACCTGCTTTCTCATAGATCACATTTTCCACTTGTACGAAAATGGCATATGGCTCCAACTCACTCTCCTACAAAACAGAAGTGCATCCCTTTGAGAAGAAAACATGGCTTGTCACCTAAGTAAAACTCTGAAGCATTTTAAAACATGAAGGAAGCTGCCACAACCCCATTTGTTTCTTTCATCTCATGATATGCAGAAAAATGTTCTGACTCCCCTCCCCCCTTGCACCACCCCAATAGAAATAATGAGAAAAGATTCCCTTTATACTGCAGAGTTTTTATTTTGTGAAATACACTGTGGGTGGCAATATCAAAGTTATTAAAGTATGGAATTATGATTAGCAGTAGACTCAATTGTTTGGATATTTTCTGCACTGAAAAGTTATTTACTGCTAGTCATAAATTCATGCTTGTGTTTCTGGGGCAACCCAGTCAGATGGGCAGAGTATTATTCTTTCTTTCTTTCTTTCTTTCTTTCTTTCTTTCTTTCTTTCTTTCTTTCTTTCTTTCTTATGTCACATGATTTTCAAGAGTTATAGAAAAGTCATCAAAAATATTTTTCGAAAATATTTAATATTTTCTTAAATATTAAGAAAACAAAATGTCCTGCTTTGCAGGTAATTTTGTTAAAAAAAAAAAATCTTAAACAGCCCAGGCTATGTAATCTATTGACCAAATGGAAGCTTTCCTCTCATTGCAAGCAGCCAGGGAGGGGATGGGGAGCAATTCTGATAGGGACCATACTGTGGTACTAACAACACCTGGGGGATACATGGGGATCTCCCCTCCCAGAAGAGAAGTCTTCAGAAAAGAGAAGATTGGAAGGAAGGAAGGCGAGAAAACACACAGATTGTTGTAGCCTCAGAATAGGTGGATACATGGTGAGGAATGCCCACAACAAGTGTGAGGTGGCTTCCAGGAAACATTTAATGTGTACTGAGTACTATGACTATGCACTTCTGGTGGCTTTTGAGCATGATTGGCAACATAGCTAGCAGCCTGTATATGTCTATACCATATGGTAAAAGTATTGTGCCCTTTTTAACATAAAAAAATTGGTTTCAGAGCAAATCTCTTATTATTTCCTTGGTCTTACCTGGATGCTTGGTCTTGACATTGTTTCAGGACTTTTGGGTGCAGCAACTTCTCTTTTTCTGGCATATGCAGGGAGGGGAGAATATAATCAGATTCCTTCTTCCAGATACCAGTGCAAAATGGGTTTGGATCAACATGTCATCTATAAGACCCTAGGATAATTTCAGATCTAGTGTACCCATCGAAATATCTTACAACTGATCCTAATACACGTACACATTCCACTGCCAATATAGAGTATCACCACTACTTTGTTAGAAATAGGGTCCGACTAATCTGTCAATTAACATTTATCTCAGTTTCCCATGTTTTTCAATTTTCAGTTCATTATAGCATTTTCCACATCAGCGTGCAATTTTTTTTATAAAAAAAACAGTCTGCATGAGAATTTGCACACATTTTAAAGGTAATTTTGCAAACAATTTCTCTCAGCCAAATGAATTTTCCTTATTATTTTCACAAATATATGCAATTTTGTATGCATGTTTTGGTTGGAGAACACATTGAAAAAATCAGAGAAGTGTGAATTTTTAAGGATGGCTGCATTTTGGTTCACAAATTGGTTTGGGAAGTGCAAACATAAGCCAGTTCTACAGCTCTGTACAATTGGTCAGCTGCCACAATGACCATAAATTCAACTTACTACAGAAAAATAGCAAGGCATTATTTATACAGCTTTCTGCCTCTGGAACTAGAAGGTGATTCATAGGATAGAATGTAGGAAGACCTTACAGAGACAAGAAAACCAAGAAAAGTAGTTGCGACTAGGTTGGGGAGAAATCCATTTAGTTCTTTGAATTTCAATGTGAACCTAGTTAGAGGCAGAAAGCTGTATAAATAATGCCTTGCTATTTTTTTGTAGTAAGTTGAATTTATGGTCATTGTGGCAGCTGAACAATTGTACAGAGCTATAGAACTGGCTTATGTTAGGACTTTGGCATACATACCTTCTATAGAGGAGGTAGATGAAAACTGAAAGCAGGAGAATTCCCAAGACACCAGCAAGGCTGGAAAATAGAATGGTGATTGTTACATCTTCTTTTTTACTTTGTCCACCTGGAAATATGCAAAGTGCAAGAAATGCCAGTTAGGAGACATGGGTGTAATGGATGGAATTAATAGATCAGTCAACAAAAGATATGGTTGCAGATTAGAATTTGTATGTACCCCCTGAAGCTCAGGCCCAAACAACAAGGTATTTGACTAGTTTTGAAATTATGCTAAAGCAAAACTCAGTATTTGATAAGGGCTTAAAGGTAAAGGACCCCTGACCATTAGGTCCAGTCGTGACTGACTCTGGGGTTGCGGCGCTCATCTCGCTTTATTGGCTGAGGGAGCCAGTGCACAGCTTCCGGATCATGTGGCCAGCATGACTAAGTTGCTTCTGGCGAACCAGAGCAGCGCATGGAAATGCCGTTTACCTTCCTGCCACAGCAGTACCTATTTATCTACTTGCACTTTGAGGTGCTTTCGAACTGCTAGGTTGGCAGGAGCTGGGACTGAAGAACGGGAGCTCACCCTGTCACGGGGATTCGAACCGCCGACCTTCTGATCAGCAAGTCCTAGGCTCTGTGCCACCCACATCCCCTGAAAAGGGCTTACTCTCCAGTATATATAGGATTCTTTTGGAAACCTCACTGGGTTCCACAGGTAGCTTAAGACAACCATGGGAAAGTGAGCTAGGCAAGACAATTGATTTAGAAGCATGGCAAGCCTGTGGAACAAACCCCCATTTCACACCCCATCAGTGCACATTTGGGAGAATGCATATAAGCATATCCACAGGAGATACCTACCCTTGCGATGCCCTGAGTTAAGCTTGCCATATGTCCGGGTGGCGCTGTGGGTAAAAGCCTCAGCGAGGGCTTGCCGATCGAAAGGTTGGCGGTTCGAATCCCCGCGGCGGGGTGCGCTCCCGTTGTTCGGTCCCAGCGCCTGCCAACCTAGCAGTTCGAAAGCACTCCCGGGTGCAAGTAGATAAATAGGGACCGCTTACTAGCGGGAAGGTAAACGGCGTTTCCGTGTGCGGCTCTGGCTCGCCAGAGCAGCGATGTCATGCTGGCCACGTGACCCGGAAGTGTCTCCGGACAGCGCTGGCCCCCGGCCTCTTGAGTGAGATGGGCGCACAACCCTAGAGTCTGTCAAGACTGGCCCGTATGGGCAGGGATACCTTTACCTTATGTCCGGAATTTCCCGGGCAATGTTTCGGCCTCTGGAAGCAGTGTCTGGGCGGAAATCGCTGGAATCCATGGCACCCCGTGTCAGAAGTTTAGATTTTGACAACAACTTTGGGCAAAAAAAAGCTCAACATCTTTGCCCAAAAAAGCTCTTTATAAAGAGCTACTTTGATTCCTGTTTGCAGCAGCCAGACTCATGGTGGCCAAAGGCATCTGCAGGTGACTTGCAAGACTATTGGCACCTCCAGATAATTGCTTTAATGGAAAAACTTAACAAAATATACCCGAACCCTACACCATCTGAAAATCAAGGACAACTTTTCTAAAGTTTGGCATCCATTAACTGAATGCATTAAAGTTAAGAAACATGATTGTCAGCCACCCTCTTCTTATGAATTCCTATGAAAAGCATTCTTGGATAGATGCTTATGAAGGACAATTGTCTGGAATTATAATACTGTTTTTGGAACACTGCTGCAGGGGTGTGGAATCTTTGGCCATCTACAGATAATGTTGAATTCTGACTCCCATCAGCTCCAGGCAAACATGTGAAAGGCCAAAGTTTCCCATCACTGTTGCAAACTGTGCAGCTTTTTCATTTAGGCACTATCAGTTTCCAGCAGAATATTTACCTTCATGGCAGTGCTTTGGGATTGATTTCCAATGGATATGGAGAACATTAGAAAATCTTTGCAAGCAATAGGACTTGGAAACAGTCCAACATGAGCATATTAAATAAGTATTATTATTATTATTATTATTACTATTATTATTCATCACCCATCTGACCAGGTTGTCCCAGCCACTCTAGGCAGCTCTCAACAAAATATTAAATGTCCATTGCTGACCTAAACTGTTCCATGCAGAATTTTCCATGGGAATAATTCCAAAAGGCTGCCTCTGAAGGAAAACATTACACCAGACCTGGCCCTTAGACAGAAAAGGAACTACAATCGTTTTGGGGAAAATTTTCTACTTTTTAGTAATATTACAGGCCAAAATGTGAGCCCCAAACCCAAGATCCCTGGAACACACCACCAGAAGAAGGATAATAGTGGATATTAGTAAATTGATTTTTATTTCATTTTATTTTTATCCCATTTTTCTAGACACAAATGCATCCAGAGTAGTATACCATAAGAACATTGATAAAAATACTGAAAAGGAACATTATGAATTGTCTTTTGAGCTAAAGCACTCAAAATGTTATAAAGAAAAATAATTTTTAAAAAAAATTAATTCCCTGGGAAATGGACCTTCAAGTAATAATATCTAATGAAAAATGGGGAACTTTTAAAACTCTTTTGGCCCAATTAAGGGAATTTTCTTGGAAATTCTTACATAAGTGGTATCTTTCCTCCTTGGCTGAAAAGCTGATGTGTCAGATTCATGCAACCAAAGGGAATTCCATCCTCCATCTGTTCTATAATGTGTGACACCCATTTTGGATTTTATAAGCATCAAGCAGATTTTGTTTATAACCCCCTAAGATCTCATGTTAATATGTGGAAAGATTTTTGGGAGTGAAATGTAGGAATTTCATTTGATAGTTTTAATCAAAGTGGTTGATGTATTGAGTTATGTTATCTTATGTGCGATGTGAAAAATTTAAATTGATAAAAATACAGAAAGACAAAGGGAAAAAGGAAGGTGGGGGAGGTACTTTGTATCCCATACCTTACCTGTACCTTTGTTTAGTAATTTGCTACTGGTTTGTGTCCTGCGTTTTGTTTTGGTTCCCATTGCAAAAATATTCAATTAAAAATGTGTGAGTGTGTGTGTATGAAAAAACAATAAAACAGGGTAAATTACAAGTTTAATCTAGATCAGTGGCACATAAATGGGAGAGGTAACCTGGAAAATGCAGCAGAACATCAAACCACCCAGTCATCAAGATTTCATATACGGTAAGTTGCAAACATGGGAGAAAAGAGAAGTCCTAGTTGACAAAAGAAAATGTGTGAAAAGGGGGTGATCCTGAGATCTCTCAGGAAAACGTATCAGAGAGTGGAAACCACAAATTAACAAACAGAGAAAATGATTCTTTGGATTACCTAACGAGAGCCTGAAGGACTCCTTCCATGCAGGATGGGAGAGAAAGCAAGTTACTTTGCTCCCCTCAGAGTTGTTGACCTTGTATATACTGGTGACGGTCTGTGTGCCATTAAGCAAATTTTCACTCTTGGTGTTATACTCTCCTCCTGGGGACCATGAGATCTGTGCGGCTGGTTTCCCTGCAACTGCCTTGCAAATGGCAGTTCCATTGATGTCGTCATGAATCAGGGACGCCTGAGGAGGTACTGGAGGAAACAAATAAATGAGGCAGTTAAATGTATCAAAGTGGTGGGATGAGGACTACTCTAGATTAGAAGTGGCAAATGGAGGGTGCTTGGGCAGCTGTGGGCAGCATTAACTCAGTGTAAAGCTGTCAGGAACTGCATTTGAGTAGTGGGGGTGCCTTGACCCCGCAGTGAGCAGGGCCAGACCCATCCACACATACAACCACACACACTTAACACAGGCAGCTGATAGTCGTATCTCATGCCCCTCCTGTCCTGTGGCCCCTGAAGATGGGCATTTTCCACTGCAGCATGTTGGAGGGTATGCACATCTGGTGCCCCTCTGGCATAAAAAGATGGACATAAAAGATAGCAGAGCTGCATATTCCAGACCCTCCAAGTGTCCCTATTTTCCAGGGACAGTCCTGGATTTACAGAATCCATCCTGGTTTCTGATTTGATCCTGGAATGTCCCACTTTTCTTCAGGGTATCCCAATTTTCACTGGAGAAATGTTGGAGGGTATGGAGTTATCTGCCTCCCGAGCCATCTAAAGGCAGCCCTCTATAGGGAAGTTGTTGTTTTTTTAAAAAAGTTTAATGTATTGTTGTTGTTGTTGTTGTTTAGTCGTCTAGTCGTGTCCGACTCTTTGTGACCCCATGGACCAGAGCACACCAGGCACTCCTGTCTTCCACTGCCTCCCGCAGTTTGGTCAAACTCATGTTGGTAGCTTCGAGAACACCGTCCAGCCATCTCGTCCTCTGTCGTCCCCTTCTCCTTGTGCCCTCCATCTTTCCCAACATCAGGGTCTTTTCCAGGGAGTCTTCTCTTCTCATGAGGTGGCCAAAGTATTGGAGCCTCAGCTCCAGAATCTGTCCTTCCAGTGAGCACTCAGGGCTGATTTCCTTCAGAATGGATAGGTTTGATCTTCTTGCAGTTTTTATATATGTTGGAAGCTGCCCAGAGTGGCTAGGGTAACCCAGTTAGGTGGGTGGGGTATAAATAATAAAATTAATAGGACGTCCCTGCTTTCATCAGAGAAATGTTGGGGAGTATGATATTCTATTGGTATCTTATGTTGCACCAAAATACACATTTGAGGAAGAAATAAGTCCCTTACGAAACCTGATGAATAAACATATTCCTATACATGCTGTCAGGAATTGCTAACCACTATGCCATGTAATGAGCAGAGTCACTACAGCAGGAAGAACTCGTGGTCTGACTCAGCGTGGCTGGCCACTGACTCATCCAGGGCAGAGAGCACCATTAGGTCTCATCTGCACTAGGCATTGAAAGCTGTAGCATACCACTTTAAACAGCTACCACTGAAGAATCCTGGAAACTAATTTGTTAGGAGTCCCCTCTTCCCCTCATCCCCAGTCTGACTTAAAAATCAACCTCTCTTCCCAGCACACAAGTGCACATCATGACAGACTTTAAGTTGCAGGCATCCAGGGAGCAGCCTCTCATCCAGGGAGTGCAAATTTGTGTAGCCAAAACCATTACAAAAAACAAAAAACAAAAAACAGAATAAAATGCATTACACAGTTAAAATAATTATTAAAACCAGACATTCTGTCAGATAAGAGTTTGATCCTCTGAAGAATTTGACATCATTCCTACAAACTTTTCTCTGTAAAATTGCCACTCCAAAGGCAAAACAAGCCACTTTTTCAGAGGTGTAGAGGGATCTGTCCTCTAATAAAAAGTTAGTCAGATACCCAATCGATCTCTAAACTGAGAAATTTAAATACAGTATCTGAACAAGGGTTAAGTCCTCATAGACTAGGCAAACCAGTGGGGCAAATCTCTAGGTACATTTCCTCCAAACTCTCTCTTCATAAGGAATCCTAGGACAGCGTCCTTCAACAATGGCAGAGTGCACAGACTGGAACTACAGAGTTGTAAAGATTTTTCTCCATTTGACATTTGTGATGCTGGTTACATAGCGAGCGTGAAGAGTCTGAATGGGTAGTTTGAACAGACAGGCAGAAGTGCGATAAGCACAAAACCATGTTTTATAAGATGAGATTTTGTGTGGCAGGATGCCATCTCAAGGTCTATGGAGCTCAGAACTAGTGTAGACTACAGTTCTCATCATGCTGTTTTTAGAGACTGCTTGGAGAGTTGGAGGGAGCCTGAGTGTGAAGAGGTGACTCACTTGAGGCATATGGCTTTTAAAACACTATAATGCATGTTTTTTCTGGATTTTCCTGCAGAGTTACACATGGTGTCAACGTTATTCTGCCGGTATTCTGGAATAATGCAGACACCATGCCAATTTTTCTTCTGCTGCAGAATATCAGGTATTTGAAGAAAGATCCTGTGTGATCTCCCTATGTGTTCAATGGTGTGGAATGTGCAGAGTGACCTTCCACTGTATGATGTGGCAGGTTTGAGAGTGATGGGCATTGGCCTGAGTGATGCCTGTTTCACACCCCTTTTGCCTCAATTCAATCTGATAGGAGAGAGCTAGCGGATATCTGAGGAGAGCAAGAATGGCAGATAGTACTAAAGGAAGCTCTGGGGTTAGTTGTAGTGGCCAGGGATATCATGGAGAAAGTAAGGGTCATACTTTCATTCAGAAAACAAAGACTTCTGAAATACCGAGGGTGGAATGTTAACGAAAACACACACACACACACACACACACACACACACACGAGAGAGAGAGAGAGAGAGAGAGGGAGAGGGAGAGAAATTTTCCAAAACAGGGAAGGGAGATTTTCTGACATTTTAGGAGCAGTAGTTCCCTCAGAACACATCCTGCTAATGGTGTGGATAACAAAATGCAGTCTCACTCACCACAAATTTACATTTTCTGCACAGTATATTGCTATATCCAACCTTCCTTTCCCAAGCTCTATTCCCTCCCTCCCATTTCACTTTTGTACACCCTTGTCAGCCTTTTCAAACTTGTGTACTTCAGCATTTTGGAACTGGTATTTATATTCATGTTTGGTCATGCTGAGAAGAAAGCAGAGAAGAGGCACTGAAAAAGCACATTGAAACAGAAGAAGCTTTAAGTCCTATGTCTGAAAAGACTATGTCATTTCTATGTTCTTTGTTCACAACTAAAAAATATTAATAAACGTGTAGTAGTTGTAACAGCAGCTGTAGAAGGAAGAGCAGAAGTAGAAATAGTTTGTTTTTAATCCAATTTTATGGGTTATTTTTTATTGCATACATTTTTTTATCACTGTTGTGCTTAAATATTACTGCAAAATGCTTTCAGTGGTTGCCAGTAGCTTAAAAGTAGCTTTAAATGTTTGGATTCAATAGAATATATGTAGCAGTCTCATATTATGATTTATAGGTAAGGAAAAGAACATGGAGTTTCTTACCTAATATGGTTAGATTATGTTCATGGCTGAATGTTCCATCAGCAGTTGCTGTAGAACATTTATATATTCCTTCACTGGATATTTGTGCTGACTTTATCTGAAGGGTGGAGTCCTTGTCTGGTCTAGATAACCAACACATGCTATCCTCACTGCAGTTTCCCCCTGTTTGATTTCTATCACTGATGTATGATAAATAGCAAACTGTTCCATTCTTTAAGTTGGCATTCCAAGATACCATTATCATAGGTCTCTGATGGGGACAGGTCAGTATAACTTCAGTGCCAACCACTGCATCCGTTTTTGATTTGCCTGGAAGGATATATAAAAAAAGTACCATCAGTAGGTTTTCCTAGCTGGATCTGAGGACTACATTTGAGACCAAGCTGTTTTTTTAATCCTCAAATACTCCTTAATAAAATCCAAAAGGAATCACAAAAACACGGTTTCCCAATGTGTTAGAAAGAAACTACCATGAAAGGTTGTTAAACACACTGATGCGGTGTGACCCTTGTAATAAGATATACTATAAGGTAACTTAACAGCAGAGATATGTAACATGAGAGTTAGACCCTCTGATACATCTGGTCATTGTGACACTGTAATCTTGTTGCTGTAATCTGCAGAAAGTGGTAAACTTATCAAACGCAAGGAGAATTATTTTGAAACTGGCATAAAATGCTGGGAATTATGAACCGAACAAATTCGCTCTGAATTTTTAATTTCATTTATTTCAAACATCTGTTTCCAGCTTTTCTGCTTCATAATTGATTTTATTTTATTATTTATTACATTTTCATACTGCCCTTCAGTTGAATATCACAGCGCAGTTTGCAATATAAAAACTTAAGAGACTGCCTAGGCACTCACCAAACGTTAAAAAAAGATAAACAAAATCAAATATTGGTAAAATTCTTTTCTAAATCCACCCTATAGGTGTAGCGTAGTGTAGTGTGTTCACATACTAGATATAGCTCTCTCTCCTTTTAAATCAAGCTTAGTCATTAATCTCTCCGGGCCTTAACAACTAAACTTATGTAAAATAGCATTGTTATCTGCTCTACTATAATTAATAAATACAGGTGTGCAATGTTACCTTCTGCCAGCTGAGGTTTAATATTGTTCACCATCATTGCTGTGACTGAACTGTTGGCATGATGCTGTTCAGACTTATTTTGAATGGACCCTCTTGCTGGGAATGATCCTAAAAACAGTCATAAGACAAAACCATAAAAGGACCGTGACATATAATTGTTGTGGTTGTTGTTATTGTTGATGTTATAAATACAGTCCATGTAATTAGAAACCGAGGGAAAGATTAAACCAGTGAATAAGATACCAACACATGTTAAACAAGGCACATAGCCCAGATTTATTAGTATAATGACCATATAAATTTATCCACAAGAGAAGACTCAACTTCTGGAGAGGCTGCCAAAATCATTCAAGATCTTCTTTTGGAAATGGATACATGCACTGTAATTTTCACATTTCACTGGAACGCACAATTAGGTGTGCGTGTTTAGTGGTATGGGGCAGTGTGGTGCAGTCTCTGGGTGGTTATCCAGGGTTTGTTGAACTACATCTCCCATCATCCCCTGCCATTGGCCATGCTGGGGCTGGGGCTGATTGGCACTGGGTTTCAAGAACATCTGGAGGACCACAGGTTCCCCAGTCTTGGTGTAGTGGTTCCGAGTGCTAGAACAGGACTTGGGTGACTCGGGTTTAACTCTCCACGCAGCTGAGAAGCTTACCTTGGGCCAATCACCTTTAATGTACATCACAAGCTTGTTGTAAGACTAAAATGGGTGTGGGAGAATAATGAGTGCCTTCTAGAGAAACCATTAACGTGAATGTTGAACCAGAGTTTTTAGAAAGCAATTTGAGGGATGAACCAATTCATACTATAAGCAAACGTAACTGCTGTCTGGTGGACCTTTGTTTACTGAAAATACCACCTCGGCAGAAGGCATTAGGAACAGAGAATCAGGAAAATTTCTCCATAACGCGGAGATGGATAAGGGAAAACAAGGTGAGCTTGAATCCAATAAATTTGGAGGCACTGTGGGTGAATGGTTCCCACATCTGAGGAAAATGGTCAATTGCCTGACCTGGGCAGGGCTACATTCCTCCTGAAGGAGGAGATAGGCAGCCTGGAAGTACTTCTAGATGTAGCTTTGTCACTAGAGGCCCAGGTAGCCTTGGTGGCTAGAAGTGCTTTTACCTGCTGTTCCTGGTGCAATAGCTTTGGCCATTCCTGGACTGGGAGAGCTTGGCCACAATAGTTCAGACACTGATTGCTTCAAGATTGGATTACTGCAATGCACTCTACGTGGTGCCTTCCTTGCACTTGACCCAAACAGTGCAGTTAGTGCAGAATGCTGCAGCACAGTGGCTGACAAGAACGAGACCCTGTCTGCATATAATAACACCACTGCTCAGAGATCTGCGCTAGTTGCCCATTTGCTACTGGGTCAAGTTCAAGGTGTTACTATTGGTATATAATGGCCTGGAAGCAGTTACTTGCAGGATTGCCTCACCCCATATGTGCTCACTGAACCACTTCAATCTGCAGATTTGACACTGTAATAAGTGTTGTACAGTATTCATTTTACAGTTGTAAGCAATCAATCCTTTAGTATGGCAGCACCTACACTTTGGAACTCCCTGCCTGTTGACATTTAGGCAGGCACCTTTGTGATACACCTTTGGCACCGGCTTGAAATATCTTTGTTTAGGCAAGTCCATCCATTAATAATAATAATAATAATAATAATAATAATAATAATAGTTATAAAATTTTATTCATACTCCACCCATCTGGCTGGATTTCCCCAGCCACTCTGAGCAGCTTCCAGCACATATAAAATCAAAATAAAACATAGATGTTGACACATTTTAATTTTTTAGTGTTACTTTTAATTACCTTTCAAATATTTTTAATGGCAATTTTAAAACTGTTTTTATTGATAATCTTAACATTTATTGCAAACTACTTAGAGGTTTTACTACAACCAAGTGGTATGTAGATTTTGTAAAATAAAATAGTTGTGGGACAAGTGCTTAATGGGACCAAATGCGTATCTGAACCACCCTGTAGGGATGACTCTCTTTGGAAGGTGATTTGGAGCAAAGAACTGTGGGTAGAGTAAGGGTTAAGAACCTACTGGATCACCATTTCCAGTTGCCCTCTCCCAAAGTTGCTTGTCATGTAACAACAAAACGAGCTTCTGCTTTATCATTACATGTGTTTGTTTATAATACAGTTTGACCTACTAATTCCAGTCAATACAATGGTACCTCAGGTTAAGTACTTAATTTGTTCCGGAGGTCCGTTCCTAACCTGAAACTGTTCTTAACCTGAAGCACCACTTTAGCTAATGGCGCCTCCCGCTGCTGCTGCTCCGCCGGAGCATGATTTCTGTTCTCATCCTGAAGCAAAGTTCTTAACCCGAGGTACTATTTCTGGGTTAGTGGAGTCTGGAACCTGAAGCATATGTAACCTGAGGTACCACTGTATATTAAAAGGATAAAGCACAGTTTTGTTACTTGAGGAATGGAAAGACCAAAGGACCATTTTAGTCCACCTCTGAAAACTAAAGGTTGATACACACAAATTATATTTACTGGGGATTTTTATGACTGTTTTGACACGTGCTGAAATTACAGCTTATTCTCCTTTTGCAATAGACTTTTCAGCAGTTTTCCAAAATGTGCTGACAGGCCACCATCTCAACACCATGGAGACAATGCCTTTTTCAGTAAACCTTCACTGAACTTTCGTCTACGGTCTCCTCTGACTATTGTGGTCAGTAGGAATCTATTTATTCTCTATTGCAGATGGCCGAAGAGGGTGGAAGAAAGAGGTTTCCTTAAGTAAAAGTTTAAATTGTTCTGCCATCATGCAATCTATAATTTATCTTTAAGTTATTATTTATAAATGACACTTTTTAGTTTATTTTCATTTGTAATATTTTACTTCCTGATTTTTAGAGGATATTTGTTCAGTTGTTTACTGTGAATTTTCCTTGCACTTTTCTAGCTGATTTTTATGCATAATGTTTATGTTGATACTGAGAGGAGGCTGTTCAGTTGTTAATTATGTTTTTTAGAATGTTGTATTTGCTGTTTATTTGAGATGTTTTAACCTATGTTTTAATGTGTTTAAATATAAGCAGCATATAAATGGTAATATAATAATAATAAAATTAACAGAAGGGATAGAAACTGTTCTAATTGTTAGATTGTCCCTGCACAAAACTGGTGTTTCGGATACAGGTCTGATCACTACTTTAGTGAAGTCAATCTACCTGCACCCAACCAACCCTTGACAATTCCAGCCAGCAAAGTTGTTCTGTCTTCTGCTTTCCTTCACCAGAGGAGAAGTATTCAGATTTCACATAGTGGTCTTCTAAACACCAGACCAGCCTTCCTACAGCCCTGGAGATGAATGGGCTGGAACTGATGCCAGCAAAAGTCGTAAGCTTTTCAACAGGTGTGATAGAGAGAATCCCAAGAGAGTTCAAAAAGAGAGAGACATTATAGCTTTGTTTATAAAGTGAGCATATTTGCGTAATTAAATTCAGACATATACTCTGCTAAAGCAGAGCAGGGGTAACTGCTGCCTTCTAAATGCTGTTGAGCTCCAACTCCCAGCCAGCCTCAGCCAGGATAGTCAATGGTCTGAGATGATGGGACCTGAAGGAGCGTCTCCACCTCCATCGTTCTGCCCAGACACTGAGGTCCAGTGCCGAGGGCCTTCTGGCAGTTCCCTCACTGCGAGAAGCCAAGTTACAGGGAACCAGTCAGAGGGCCTTCTCAGTAGTGGCACCCACCCTGTGGAACGCCCTCCCACCAGATGTCAAAGAGAAAAATAACTACCAAACTTTTAGAAGACATCTGAAGGCAGCCCTGTTTAGGGAAGCTTTTAATGTTTAATAGGTTATTGTATTTTAGTGTTTTGTTGGAAGCCGCCCAGAGTGGCTGGGGAAACCCAGCCAGATGGGCAGGGTATAAATTTATTATTTATTTATTTATTATTATTATTATTATTATTATTATTATTATTATTATTATCCTGCAATATCTGGAGGTCCACAAGTCTCCCATCCCTATACTAAATAATACTGTGATAGGAATTTATACTCAGGCCAACTCCCAGCTTATTCGAAGTAGGTTTTTCTTTCTCTTTAAAAATATTTGGTTTGATAAATGTATGCCGCTATTTGCCCTTTAGGTTTAAATATTATAAGTAGATGATAACGATCCGGTCCATGCTGCCTGTTCCCTAGCCACTTTGCTACATATCCTTTAATGTGGGTGAAACTGAAAGGTGAAGACTTTATAAGAAAAGGCAACACCTTCAGTGAAAAGTAAGACTTACCAATTGTTGCCATCACCACTGTGATAGTGAGCAGGGCACAGGCACTCCAGTTCTTCAGAACAAAATTAATTCCGCATTTGGCTTCCATGGCGCACGCAATTATATCACCACGACATCCATTCTGGTGTCTGTTTAACCACCAATACAGCGAGCATCTTTTCATGCAAACACTTCATCTCAGCGAGCATCTCTGCTCCACTTTCTACATCCCTAGGTTCTACAGTAGCTCTGTGTGCTCCAGACTGATTAGCTCCTTCGGGTTGGAGTGGTTCTTCCTCCTGCCTTGCCACTTGTACAGGGTTTCCTGTGCTTACTTGTCAAAAAACCAAACACAGAGGAAGCAGATGAAGTCACTTTCCTCAGTGGTTATCGGAACAGGACTGCTCTCTTTGGGAAGACGAGCCCTCATGGTAAAACTCAAGAGAATAAAAACAGGGTTGTTCCATCAAGCTTCCGTGTCAGAGGAAATTTCATTTGAGGTGAATGATACTTAAAAAATAATGCCAAACCATTTCATGGAAGAAAATTCAACTCATGGGCTGAAGAGCTGTCTGCATTATGATTTAGCAGCTTCCACTATTTACACTTTCTACATTCTCATGCATCAAAAATTATATTGTAGTTTCCACCACAAAAAGGTGATATTTCTTCTGCTATCAGGTTCTCCGGTACTTGCTGCTGGTAGGGTTGATGAGCACTAATGGGGCTTTCATACAAGTACATATATGGGAACAAATTATGGAGCTAATTTGAGGGGTGGGTTCCTCCGTTCACATTTTAGTGGGTGTTCAAGGTTCAAAACTTGCCCACACAGAGAAAAACAGCATTTTCACTTCAGATGAAATGACTCAAGATTCTGTAGAAGCCACAGGTTTATTTTAAAGTTAATACACAGCATTTGCTTCAGCATGACAGAAAAAGATTCATATGATAAACTGTAGATTTCACATGATGAGATTTCCCTTGATCCTTTGAGTCTTAATGATTCTCATCCCCAGGCTATCACCTCAAAAAGAAATCAGTCTTTTCTTAACTAGCTTTTACACTAGTTGATTCCAGGATTTGGAAGTGTCTTATACACTGTTTATGAAGTTTGCCTAGCTTGATTAGTTTTTTCACACATGCTTATTCCACTAAATTAAAATTGTCTAACACACATATTAATACACATGGGTCATGCATAGGTCCTAACATGGGGTCTGACACACAGTTTCAACACAGAAGCTTCAATTAAATTCTAACACGAGCCTAATCCATGAGTTAGGGTGTCTTGCACCCACCAACTCATATGTTGGGTAATAATTCAGTGTTTGAATTAATTAGCATTCAATATCCTCTTCTGACCAGTAATCACACTTTGTTTTAGAGCTAATATACTTTTCCTATAACTGGGCACTCTCCCGGTCTCTGCAGCCACAGCAGGCGCCGTAACTCTCCAACAGTTTGCCTTCACTCCCAAAGGCACACTCTTCCATTGTCTCCCAAGACATATGTAAATAACTCTGGGGTGCCCTGGAGTCAGCTGTGGTCTATTTTAATTGTGGGTGTGTGGCATGTTGATTAATACAAAATTTAAAATCGAAAGTCAATTTTCTAGATATCTGTCTTGTTTTATGTCAGTTGTGGAGAAACTCTGGCCCACGGGTCTTGTTATACATCTAAATTTGGCCTGCAAAATCATTTTGCGCAAATCACAATCACCTGTCAGTCACCTGGTATCATACAACATCAGGCGAACCTCTCCCCAAGCAGGCACCTTCCTCTATTCCTAAGTGAATTGTGCAGAAGTGGGAACTGAGATTTGGTCAGTTAGCATATGGATCATAGTTAAATTGCCAGTTTCAGTTTGAGACTACAAGGTCATGAGGCATGTGTGGGTGGAAATAGGTGACTAATAATTTTGCAGTAGTTGCACACACAAAAAGCTTACCACATGGTGGCTGTATTAACCTCAATTGCAAGCACAGCATTTAACACACACCACTCAGATCTAGGAAGGAGAGTCATGATAATACTGGACATACTGGCTGGTTCCTCTTATGTGTACAGATGCTATTTGTAGATTTAAAATGTTTACCATGTGGTTCTTTCTAATCTTGTTTCTACGGCAGCTGTTTTCTGAGTGCTATTCATGCATAAGAGCTAGCTAGCAGATGAGGTTTGAAATGTATTTTTCTCTTTTAAAAACAAATGTTATATTTAGATTCTCAATTTTACAGCAATCATTAAAATTGCATAAACTATCCAATAACATCACTTGACTTCCCTCCCCACCTTTTGTGGTTTCTTATGTGGTAATTTTCTTACTGCATCGCCAAATTATTATTTAGAATCTAAAGTTTCCTTAACAAATCTACTTAACTGCTTGTTCTACATTAATCCTGCTAATTAATTTAAATGTTTACTATAGTTTTTCAGTTAGTCCACATATTTCCCCCAATCTTTGTTAAAAGTTCTTTCTTTTTGGTTTCTTATTCTTCCAGCAAGTTTTGCTATTTCAACATAGTCCATTAATTTTATCTGCCATTCTTCCTTGGTTGGGACTGTATCTTCTTTCCATTTTTGAGCGTCATTTGGGCAGCTGTCATTGCATACATAAACAGGTCCCGTCCCGCCCCCCCGGTCCCTGGGTATCTCTGTACCTAGTACAGTGGACGCTCGAGTTGCGAACGTGATCCATGTGGGATGGACATTCGCAACCCACAGCATCCGCAACCCGCAGCAGCGCACAGCGCATCTGCGCACACGTGAGTTGTGATTTGGCGTTTCTGCACATGCGCAAAGCGCGATTTAGTGCTTCTGTGCATGCGAGACCACCGAAACCCAGAAGTAACCCGTTCTGGTACTTCCAGGTTTCAGTGGTCCGCAACCCAAAAAAACGCAACCTGAAGCGTCTGTAACCCGAGGTATGACTGTATTCCTAAAAAAAAAAAGCTTCTGGTGAGGTTTGAAACTAAGGGTTTATGCATACTTACCTTTTGTGGAACAGGTACACATACTTAAAATTTATTATTATTGTTTAAATTTGTATACCACCCTTTATCCATAGATCTCAGGGCGGTTCACGTCATAAGAATACAATGTAAAAGCACAAAATACATTATAAAAACAAGAACAAAAAACCCACAAACCCATAACCCCCTCCCTGCAGTCCTTCCCACAAAGACATTTAAAAGGGGTATTAATCAGCCCAAGGCCTGGTTGAAGAGGAACATTTTCCCCTGGGTGTCTAAAGGTATATAAGGAAGGCACTAGCCATATCCTCCTGGGAAGAACATTCCACACATGGGGACCGACTGCAGAAAAGGACCGCTCTTGTGTTGCCACCCTCTGGACCACTCATGGAGGAGGCACACAAAGAAGGGCCTCAGATGATGATTACAAGGTCTGGGTCGGATCATACAGAGAGATGCAGTCCTTGAAGTATTGCAGTCCTGAGCCATTTGAGGCTTTATAGGTCAACACTAGTACTATGAATTGGGCCTGGACACTAATTGGCAGCCAGTGCAGTTGGGCCAGGATTGGTGTAATATGCTCAAACCACCTTGCCCTGATGAGCAAGCTGGCTGCCAAATTCAGCACCAGCTAACGTTTCCGAACCATCTTCAGAGGCAGCTCTATGCGTTGTAGTAACCTAACCTAGAGGTTGCCAGAGCATAGACAACAGAAGTTAGGCTACCTCCATCCAGATAGGGGCATAGCTGGGCCATAGCTGAAGCTGATGGAAGGCACTCTGTCCCACTGAGGCCACCTGAGCCTCAGGCGACTGCAAAGGATCCATAAGTACCCCCCATAAGTACCCCTGCATATTTGCTCCTTCAGAGGGAGTATAACCCCATCAATAATAATAATTTATTATTTGTACCCCGCTCATCTGGCTGGGTTTCCCCAGCCACTCTGGGCAGCTTCCAACAAGGATTAAAAATACATCAAAAGCAGGCATGTCCAAGCACACCCCCACACCTTTCCCTGCAAAAACTCGCTCTTTAAAGCCAACTCGGAACAAATGGCAAATCGGGTTTCCCACAGATTGCCATTTGCTCTGATTCAGTTTTAAAGAGCAAGTGTTTGTGGGAAAAGCTCTGGAGTACAAAAAAGGGCACTCAGACATGGAACAGTAAGGCACAAACCACGGCTGGGAAGTGAGGAGGAAAGGTACAATAAATTTGGATAAACACATGTCTTGCCATCCATAATCACAAGGAAGGAAATCTTAGCTTTTAATTTTTAAAACTCCATAACCTTCCAGATGATTGAATGGATGAAGCTGCAACTGGCCAGCAGGGAGGAGTTTTAGAAGCAGAAAGAAAGAATTTACAGCCTTAATTCTGTGCAGCTAGATCCCAGTCTTAACTGGAGCAGAAGCTTATGACACAACAGTTACCATGGCTTCCTGTGCGAGGTAAAATTTTGCAGAGGCGTTTGAAAAGCTAATGTGTATTGCTTATTCTGAGAAACACCCACTCTGCTGATAGCCTCAATGAGAATTTCTTTTTGTGTGACTCTTACGGAAGGAACTTTTACAAGAGAGTGTTTGAAAAAGTCTAAATTCCCAAACTATTTCTGGGCGGGTCACCCCCCCCCTATTAAAAACCTCAGTTTCCATATTTGCAGTGTCATGCTTATGACTTCAGCTGCATAGTTAGAAGCTGTGTGGGCCGACGATGAGAAACATTATAAATGCTGACAGTGACCTGGTGACAAAATTCCTCTTTCCACAAATATATGCCAACAAGTAAGAGTTTCTGTTCTCAAATCACTGCTGCACATCTGCTAGATCGCGGCTCCTAAATGAAATGTTCATTTCAGCAAACTTTAGTTAGATCCCACCACTTCTTAACGCACTTCCAGTATGTATTTATTTGGAATTCTTTATACTGTATCCTGATCTACCCCCTTAAGAAGATCAGAGTAGAACACCTAAAAATAGCAAAACAATGTAAACAAGCAGTATTTTAAGGTTTTTTTCCCCTATTATGTTTTTACTGTAATTTTACTGGTGTTAGCCGCCCTGAGCCCGGCTCTGGCCAGGGAGGTCGGAGTATAAATAAAATTTATTATTACTATTATTATAAAAGGAAATGCTACATTCAGCAGAAACATACTGCAGATTCAAAGGAGTTGCAGCAGTTACTTATTACAGCCCAGAGTATAATTCACATTGAATATTACAGGCCAGGTAAACAACAACAAGAAGAGTTTGGATTTGATATCCCACTTTATCACTACCCTAAGGAGTTTCAAAGCGACTAACGTTCTCCTTTCCCTTCCTTCCCCACAACAAACACTCTGTGAGGTGAGTGGGGCTGAGAGACTTCAGAGGAGTGTGACTAGCCCAAGGTCACCCAGCAGCTGCATGTGGAGGAGTGGGGAATCGAACCCGGTTCACCAGATTACGAGTCCACCACTCTTAACCACTACACCACATACAACAACAACCCTGCAGCGCTGTCCAGAGGCATCAGACCCCCACAACCATCACTGCAGGCTTGGAGTACGGCTGTAGGTCACTGTTATTTGACCTACTGCAGCTTGGAGGGCTGCACTGATAAATATTAGCTTATAGCATTCTTGCAACATAGTCCAATGTTAACAACGCAGGGTAGAGGTGAAGCCAACACTCATTTGGATTCCTAGTAGAAAATAAAATGTGCCATACTCCTCAGGTAGCAGCAAAGGTCAATCCACCTCATTCTTTCTCAGAGCTCCTTGCATGCCATATCAAGAACTCAGTTGCATGCAGAAGTCTTACATGCAGTCAGGTTGCACGTTTAAATGCTGGAAACACAATATATATCTAAAATATGTATCTAAAAAACAAGTTGAAAAGTGTGTTTTTAATGCATACGATTAGAAGATGAACGCCTGTGTTTGATACTAACATTTGGTGTTTTTAAACTCGAGCTACCAGAGCAATTTTCTGTGGCATGGCCCTACTTGTTTCCTCTATTTCCCAACTTCAGGGGTGAGTGCCAATACTTACATAGCCAAACAGCACCAGCCATGCACAAGGTATCTGCATGCAAGTCCAAGATTTGCAGAAGTCCATAAAGTTCAAAAAAGCTTTGTGGACAAGAAAAGGAAAGAAAAACTATGTGTGGGCAAATGCAGGCAGTCCCATGAAAACAAGGGGAGGAGGGATATAGCACAAGCACAGCTGTCACTCTCAGGTGGGGTGGCTTTCTCTAGGCAGCCTGAGAACTCCTGAGAAAGTAGTGTTTTCATATAATCACAGAGCTGGAAGGGACCCAAGGGTCATCTAGCCCAACCCCCTACAATGAGGGAATCCCAGCTAAAGCTGGGGATTTGGAAGCTGGAAATGAGGCAGCCAATATGATCCTTGCTTTCAATATCTCCCCACCCCTCCTCCACATGCAAGAAACATTTTGTTGCAGGACCGAATATCGTCCTCAACTTCATCCCCTTCCCAGTTTTGAATGACTGACTATAGCAACGTGCTTCTTCTTGTACCTTTATTGCCACCCGGCGGTAAAAGCAAGAACTGCCCGTTGTATCCTTATTGCTTGGAGATAAATGTGACATATCTCGAATAATACGCAGTGGACGCTTCTTGTGGTTTGTTAGTTACTGATGGGTTCTGACTCTGAAGGGTTTTATAAAATTATATTGATGCTGGGGTTCCATTTCAAAAACATGGTCCTCAGGTTTCTCCAACACATCTCTTAGCAGCAATGCGGTTTACAATTTCCCCACGTTTCAGCTTCTAACACCGTCCTGATCAAAGCCGGCCCACCCATGAGGCAAGGTGAGGCGCCTGCCTCAGGTGGCAGGATTCACTGAGGCAGCAGATCATCATCATATCTCTTCATCATACTGTCTTTCTATCTTACAATACTCAAGGCGGTTTACAAGCTGAAGAAACAAAAAATGTACATCTTATAACAATCTAATGCAATACAAAAATGTGATAATAAACATAACTTTAAAATAGGCAACCTACATCAAAAAAGTAACATTCAACAACCATTAGAATAGTATAAAATAATAATAGGTAAAGGTAAAGGTACCCCTGCCCGTACAGGCCAGTCTTGACAGACTCTGGGGTTGTGCGCCCATCTCACTCTATAGGCCGGGAGCCAGCGCTGTCCGCAGACACTTCCGGGTCACGTGGCCAGCGTGACAAGCTGCATCTGGCGAGCTAGCGCAGCACACGGAACGCCGTTTACCTTCCCGCTGGTAAGCGGTCGCTATTTATCTACTTGCACCCGGGGGTGCTTTCGAACTGCTAGGTTGGCAGGCGCTGGGACCGAACGACGGGAGCGCACCCCGCCGCGGGGATTCGAACCACTGACCTTTCGATCGGCAAGTCCTAGGCACTGAGGCATTTACCCACAGCGCCACCCGCGTCCCTATAAAATAATAATATCAACATATAAATGTCAAGCTTTCTTCCCCCCTTGTTTCTGATGTAGATCTTCCCTTAGCCCTTCTTCCATACTACTCCAGCACCATAGGTACCAACTCCCTGGGGCCCTGGGTGCCCAAGCACCCACCAAATTCCCCATGAAGGGGCTGGGCACCCGCAAATTCC